TGGTGCTGCTGACCCACCGTATTTCGGGTACAACGCGAGCTTAGCCACGACACGCCGGCCACTCCACCCCACTGTATTCCATTCCACTATCGCCCATCACTCCTCGCCCATATCAACCGAATCGCAGGAGTTTGTGAGTTTGTTTTCGGGGTTTTGATCTTAATGTTTTTGCTTTTGTGAAGCTTTCCAAAATGGCAGTAGGTGTTTTGTTGTCTCATTTTCCTTTTGTCTAGCGTCGGGCAGTTGCATTATTTTGGGATCCGAAGGGGTAAAGTTACAGTTTGAAATTTGCTAATTTTTGACCAAAAAAAGATTGAATTCTTCCGCGCTTTTCCGAAAAAGTACATTCCTTTAAGTTAAAAAGCGATTGTGTATATTACTTGCCTATAGAGCGGGCAACTCAAAGCAAAAGAAAGCTGTACAAAAGCATAAGCATTTAGATCATAACCCAAAAACAAACTCACGAACTTCTGGCGATTCGACGTTTAGTCTGATATGGTCGATAGTGTAGTAGAGGAAAGTGTTCGGCGTATCGTGGCTGAGCCCGCGTTGTACCACGTTGTGGTCGTTATAGGAAACCATTAATGGGACTAATTACACTCATATCTAATAGCGTGAGCGCAAGTTTCTTTTCGCTTTTCACATTTTTGTGTTCTACGGTCAAAAATTAAAGATCTTATTTGTTCGGATTCATAGATGGCTTAAAATGGTTTTTTACTGTCTTGATAGCTCGGGGTTGACATTTTTCATGTTCATTCTGATTATGGTTGATCAGCGGAGTTATCTAGAGACTGTTGAGAATCTTGTCTACAGGATGCCTCATGATTACTCAGAATGACTGTGGAGGGTCTAGCTCAGTCAAATGATCACCGATTTTCACGAACATTTTGCGAGTGAATTTGGAGCGGGTCTCCTGTAGCGGTGCCCATTATCTAATCGATAGGAGTGAACAATTTTTTAAAATGGGCTTTCAACTTTGGGGGTCGGGTCCTGGCACACAACCTAGTTTTGGGGCTCATGCTGCCAGGCATGATGTGACTCACAACTTTGAAAACTTTGTTAAGATATTTGTGAACTCCTATCGGTTAGAGAATAGACACCGCTACAGGAGACCCACTCAAAATTTTTGTGGGAGTCGTTTGCTTTTTGACTGAGCTACATTCAAGTGATTTTGATTAATTATGACACACCCTGTAAAAAGCTTTTAATTCTAATTGCCGACTTGGTTTTGGAAATCTAATTGTTTTTTTATTTACAGGTAGACGGACGCCAAGCAAAATGTCGTTTGAAATGCGAAAGTTGACGTCATTCCCCATGCAGAAGCTATGCTATGACCTAGAGCTGGAGGTTTTGGAGCAAATGAAGCCGGAAGATGCGATTGAATTGGTCAAGGTGAATGTAGGATTTCGATCGATTCTGCTGCGGACACCCTGGCTAGTTTTTGGGCGTCACGTGCACCTGTTACGCTCTCGGGATGATTGGATTTTGGTCACCCGTCGTCCCCATGACTCCTGCCTCAGACTTAAGGTCGCTCGCCACTCTCCATTGTTCAAACGAGTCCACTCGTGTGACATATTTCTGGCATGGTTTAAGGAACCATTCCGTGACCAAAACGCGGCGATTCTTAATCGCTTGAACGCTGTGAAACGTTTGAGCCTCTCTGTGGACACGAACGAGTTGTTGCTGAAATTTCTTGAGAATTTCCGCTCGGTTATTGGAGAGTGCGCGGATATTGACGTGAGAATTGATTGGTTGAAAGAAAATGAAGTGATCAGCGAACTTTTCAAGAATTTCATTATAAATCAGATGAATGACTGCGAAAAAGTCCTTTTGTGTTGTAGTTCCGCCGCTGCGTTTCACTTCTACTACGCTGCTTTTGCCAAGACTTCGATAAAATGCTTGCAAATCCCTGGAATAGAGTTGGCCGATGATGATGAGTTTGAAAAGGTCTTGCAATCAATCGTTGAAAAGGGGATCCCAAGCAAGAATTTGAAAGCGGCTATCTATGTGAATGACCGTGAGTCTCGGGAGAGGGATTGCCGAATCGTCGATTTTCTTTCGCGATTCCCTGGAATGAAGCGTTTCGACGGGGAAAACCAGCAAAAGGTCACCAAAATAGCGAAAGAAATCTGGGATAAGCATTTGAATGACTTTTTTTTTAGTTTCACGAAGAAATCAGACATTTTTCGACGGAACATTGACTCAAGGAGGGATTGTGTCTACATGTTTGGATCATACAGATCCGTGTATCTGGATGATAATGGCACATACACGGATGATTCCGGAACCACAAAATTTTTCGCTTTCTACGTTGATCCGCAATCGGGAAAGATGGAGTTTTGAGAGTTTTTATCGGGGTTCATACAGTTTTAGTGCTTTTTTTGTGTCAATGATTTCATCTAATTCATCGATTTTCGATATTGCCTATATAACTGGAACAGAAGTTGACAAGCATGAATCTTTGTTTCGATATATAATTATTATTTCACAAGGATGTATTATTTGTTTCGTATAAAAAATAAAGCTTTATAAATAGCCGAGAAAGAGTGAAATAAAAAAGTTAGCCAGAATAAGTGGAATGGCATACATAACGATTGGAGGTATTGCTGCGTTTTCCTAACTCCTTGTCCTCGTAGTTTTCGGGCACTTCAAACGGATCGTCGCCCTTCGAACGCCCGTAATTTTGTGCGGAAATATTTTTCTAAGGTTTTTGGGAAATTGTAACAGGAGTTTACGATTTGCGGTACGGTAGCGTGGTCACAAGGTAAAATCCCAGGTTTTTCTGGATTGAAGTTAGAATTTGATCAATTCCTCAATTATTCTGCTGATGTGGAGCTACCTGAAAAGCTTTCAGCTACCTGAAAAGCTGAAAAGCGATTTTCAAGAAATTTTTAAAACAATCACTTTTTTTAGAAATTCTGATTCATTTTTTTCGAAAATCTAACATATTTTATGAATTCTTTTTGCGAAAAACGATCATTGGATTGATTTAAAATGTAAATTTCTCGAAAGATCTCGAAAGAGAGTCTTTTCTTTCTTTTCGTCCGTTTGAAGGTATGAACTCTTTGAACAGTCGAACAGTAACAGAACAATATGAACAAATAGCAAAGAAGTGACCAGTATGGCTTTGGATTACTTACTTTTTAGTCCCGGCTTACAGGCTTAGGCTTTGGTTTTAGGGTTGATGGAGAAAACTAGACAAAGATGTATCTCAACCTTTGCATGCCTTTGTCCATGTGTTTTAAAGGATTTTTCTGAAGCTTTTTTGATAGAATAATAGACATTCTATAGCTGATTCAACTTGTTACCGTAAAATTTCGAGGAAAGACGATTCATCCGTCCTTAAGATCACCCCAAATGTTCGACAAAATGTCTCCATTGATCTGCATTGAATCGATTGACGAAGAGACTTTCAATTGTCTACCATCCAATGCATCTTTTGCGAAGGTCAATCGCAATCGCCGATTCCTCAAAACCATCAGAGACTTTCAGAGGTCGACTGATAAATAATCGAGCCGATTTGAGTCGATTCCGAACCGTTTATCCCAATTACAATAACTCCAAAGCACGCTTGAAGCATCTTGGCTCTATTAGAGCCTGTTTGGGTTCTTTACGAACATCTTGATCAATGCACGATCTTTTCTTGTTGTTGTTTTTGGTGGTCGATCCTTTTTCGCAAATTTTTCAAGCTTTTGGATTTTTGCAAAGTCGAGAAACGGAGAACAATTCTCAAACATTTATCACTTTGGTCCCTTGTTAACGAGCTCGAACAATATTGGAACGGGAACCCACCTACCGTAAGCCTAAAGCGAATCTCTAGGGTTACAGTAGTAGAGAAACTCATCTAACCCGTTTTCTTAAATGTGCCCCGCCTACCAAAGTCTTGTCTCTTTTTATCAAATCCATTCACTTTCTATATCTTTCGATAGCATTATAGTAAAAACTTATGACAATATTTCCCAGTCCCTTTTAGTAATTTCCTTTTCAATTCGATTTAGATTCCATTTCCAGGTCAAAACTTAGCCCATGGCAATCCACCGGGTACTATTGAGTACCCTGGCAAACCCAGAGGCTACTATTGAGTAGCCTATGGGTTTCCCAGGGTCAACCTCCAATCTCTTTCCACGGTGATTCGAGTGGTTCATTGATGTGTTTGAACAAAGAAAAATAGGAGATGAGTTTGGGAATAGAATTGATTGCTATTAATAGGTTTTAGTTTGGCATTTCAAAAAAGTTTTCAAAAATTAGAGCTCCCGTCCATAAACGTCTAGTGCGTCGTACACTCTTTCTTAAGCCATCAAGTGTATGCCTTACATAAAAAGAGCAATTACGAAGAAAGCACCAAAACTGAAGCCAGAGAATGATCCAGATGGAGAATGGAGAATTGGAGAATGGCCGAGACGGAGAAGGGAGAATTGGAGAATGGCCCAGACTGTCCAGGTGGCAACAATAATATTGGCACGATTTGAGAAAGGATCCAATGCTTTGTGGACGTCGAAACTTTGGAGGAAGATCACTGGGACGCCTTCAATGACGTCCTTAATTTAGAATTTGTGACTTGTCGCATAAACTCGAACGATTATCAGAACGTTTTTTGTTGATTAACTGCTTCCTAACGCAAAACCAAGGGAAAAACTAGATTTTTCAACAAGATAATGCTTCAATTCATGCCAGCCAATCCGCTAAAGCTTTCCAGGGATTTCATGTTTCTTCATCGGACTTAAATCCAATAGAAAACTTGTGGAGCATCTTTGTGAGAAATATTAGAAGTATATGGGGAAGATTTCAGAGACAAGTAGGGGAAGATTTCAGATACAATCTTTATAATAAACTAAAACCGTAGATCAATTGGTGAATAGGTTAGGTTGAAACAAAAATACAAAAATTTTTATCCAATCTTTAGCGATATCAGATCAATTTCTTTTCATATACATATATATATCACAAAAATTACTGAAAGATATTGAAATTTTGAGTTTTTTTTTGAGTTTGACGTTTCACAACTTGAGCGCTTGATAGAAGATCTCTTGGAGGAAAGCACGGGAGCGAACCTGTAAATAAGAAGAAGAAAGAAGAGATAGAATATACTAATAAACTAGAAATTTATGTAAAAAGTAGAAAACTAAAGTTTACTTTGAATCTATATTGATCCAACATTTCAAGAACATCCGCGTACAAGCATGGCCACTCGAAAAGCCATGAATGTTTTCGGCGAAGGCTGAAAATTCAGGAAGGATTTGGTTACCGTAAAAGCTGTAATAGAGGACCTATAGAGGACCAATGAAAAATAATAAAGATCCTTCTAAATGGAGGATCATTATTGGCTACTTTTGACTGCTTCTGGCTGCTTTTGAATGCTTCTGGCTGCTTTTGACTGCTTCTGGCTGCGTTTGAATGCTTTTGAATGCTTTTGAGTCCTCCTGGCTGCTTTTGACTGCTTCTGGCTGCTTTTGAATGCTTCTGGCTGCTTTTGACTGCTTCTGGCTGCGTTTGAATGCTTTTGAATGCTTTTGAGTCCTCCTGGCTGCTTTTGACTGCTTGTGGCTGCGTTTGAATGCTTTTGAATGCTTTTGAGTCCTCCTGGCTGCTTTTGACTGCTTCTGGCTGCTTTTGAATGCTTCTGGCTGCTTTTGACTGCTTCTGGCTGCTTTTGACTGCGTTTGAATGCTTTTGGCTGCCCCTCTCTCTATCTTTTGTACCTATTCTTTAAATAGTAAAATATTCATTCAAAAGAAGTGTTTCATTCACTTCTTTGTAGTGTAAATTATAGCATTTAACAGGCAAGATAAGAAGCCACATCCTGGCCTAGCTTCTGCTTTGAGCCGGATTTAAGTACTTCTGACTTGAGCTTGCCCTGTACCAGGTAAAGCAAAGCAAAGCCAAAAGCAGGGTTCTGACTTTTCACACAATTCATTGAAAAATAGAAGTTCTGTTAGAAATTCATTCTCCTAGAATTCTTACCTTAACAATTTCTTCTCTGGAATGATCCGCTTGATTTCAAGGAGATCGATGAGCTGAAGCACATCTAATCGCAGCTGAGCCGAGTCGTTTCCGATTGTGATTTGTGGTCCTAAATCATTACAATCATCTAGCCAACATTTATCTATAATATAAAACTGTTTTCTAAAATCTAAAACGTTTTCTAGCCATAAAACCGACTTCGACTCTCGGGAATTGTGCAGAAAAAGCATCGGTGTCGATCGTGGGCTTTCATTTGATCCAAGCGTAACTGGGATTGAGTTTTATTGAAAAGATATGGATAGTATTAGCTAGATAGATCTAGATCTAGATATATCTAGATTATATTATCCATATTTTAGATTATCCATCAATTATTCACCCGTCCATGTCCACTCTTTGCCCCTCGGTCCTCAAAAGAGGTAAAGCCGCCATCACAAGCGATGTCACTCCTAGGCATGTTGAAGATATTCTGTAAAAATGGAGAAGTATAGATAGATCTAGATCGATATCTAGATAGTTTTAGATCTAGATCTAGATCTAGATATAGGTCTAGATATCTAGATCTAGAGAGATCTAGTTCTAGAGAGATCTAGATCGATATCGAGATAGATCTAGATCTAGATCCGATCTCTCTAGAACTAGATCTATCTAGATCTAGATAGATCTAGCTCTAGAGAGATCGGATCTATATCTAGATAGATTTAGATCTAATCTCGACCTAATCTAATATAACTCTCGATCCCTGAATCCAGAGGTCACCGCTCTGCTGACTACACTAGAGAGGCACGAAGCATTGCTTTACGAAAGCCATTATAGCCAGTAGTACCAATCATTAGTACAGTGCTACAGTAAAACATATTCATTCATTGATCCAGATCCAGAAACCAGATCCAGCTCAGATCCAGAAATCAGATCCAGCTCAGATCCAGAAACCTGATCTTTTTCAAATAGAATAATTTTATAGAAGAATACAACAGCTTTTAGCATAGCTTTTAGATCGATATTACTGTTGTATTGTAACCGACTCGACAGATCAACTCGATCTCCGTGGGCAGAGAGATGTAGGGAAGGGGATAGTGAGCTGGAGAGGGCAACTCAGCGCACAGCTCGAGCTCCTGAACACGATTCTACAGGGTGAACAAAAAGTTTCAAAAAATTCAAACTCGACACTTTAAAAGCTTTATTTCCAAGCTCGAAACCCAAATCAAAAACTTACAATATATTTTAAAGCTGGGGAGCATTTCTATACCTAAAAAAAGTCTGATCAAAGCCAGACTAGCTCTTTCAATGAGATCTACATAACCCTAAATACCGTAGAATTGACAAGATTGCTCAAATCGACTAATCCAGGCCTTCACCTGAGTTCTGCTATTCAGTATTAACGATTTACCTTATGCAAAGTCGGATCATCGAGTGCTTGAAGGCTGTACTCGCCTAACTCAAACAATTGTTCTCTGGTCATCAAATTGTAGCGAACTGGATGGCCGACACTCTCGAAAACCTGCAAAAAAGAAGAAAAGATGAAAAGATGAAAGGAATTTAGCTCAAAAAAGCTACAGGAAACAGTGAGCAGACGGAAAAGCTACAGTAATCTCGAGCTACAGTAATCACTAGCTACAGTAATCCCTAGCTACAGTAATCCCTAGCTACAGTAATCTCTAGCCACAGTAATCCCTAGCTACAGTAATCCCTAGCTACAGTATTTCATGTGACCTGGATAAACTGTCGAATCCTCGGTGCTTGCAGTTTCCATCGCAAACGATTTTTCGTTGAGAAATGCTCGTTTTGCGAGCTCGAAGCCATCATCTAAAGAATACTTTGTGCTCTCTGAAACACACTCTTTCTAGTGCCCTAAAAAGCATAAAGCTTTCTCCTTTACCAAGTTCTCCAATTCGACTTCAAGTGGAGATTTCGGGTTGCTCAAGAGGCCTGTGTTCATTGTTGATGATCTAGAAAAGGATTAAAGAGGCTAATTAAAGTCTAATTCAAGTCTAATTCAACTCTAATTCAAGTCTAATTCAAGTCTAATTCAAGTCTAATTCAACCCTAATTCAACTCTAATTCAACTCTAATTCAACTCTAATTCAAGTCTAATTCAACTCTAATTCAACTCTAATTCAAGTCTAATTCAACCCTAATTCAACCCTAATTCAACCCTAATTCAACTCTAATTCAACTCTAATTTAAGACTCAAAGTCTATTTTCAAAAACTATCGTCATCTTTTCACTCACCGACTTGGTGTATCCTCATTTTCATCAACCAGCGATCTCGCAAGTATACTGAATGCTCTTTTTCGATCATCTTCCGTTGTCGCACTTGCATAGAAGCTGTCGATGGTGAGCGAGCGATCCCCACGAGGAGACATGTAACCAAGGGGACTGAACGGAAAAAGTTACAGAGGTTTGTAAAAAATACACTAAAGAATTTTTTTGGCTCGCTAAAGAATAAAGATATTTGGACGAATTTTTTGCATGAATAGTTTTCCTTTAAGTCAGCTACGGCCAGATCCAGGCAACAGCCAGATCCAGGCAGTAGCCAGATTCAAGCAATAGTCAGATTTAGGCTCAGGCTGGATCTGGCGACATTTTTTTGGCTTTGGTCTTTGGCTCAGGCTTTGGCGACATTTGCCAGACAGCGACATTTGCCTGAGCCAAACCTCAGTCATGCCATGCAAGGTTAAAAGCTTGAAATTTTTTCAAGTTCAATCCCACTTGTTGGGATTGAACCCTCGACCTGCCGACTAAGAGACAGGCTCTTAGCCAGTTGGCCATGGCGTCACGGCGGTAAAATTCCCCACCTCAAACTCCTCGACTCTTGGGGCGATTCGACAAAAATACTTGGCGCACTTTTCCTCTTTTTCTCGTTTCTCACTTCGCCGACTGAGGCGAGTGAACGAGAGCGGAGACGTTGTGGAGAAGGAGATGGACAAGGGGAATCCGTGAAGAGAGAGGAGCGACGATCGATTGGCAGCTGAATTGATTCGAGTCTCAAGATTGTCATAATAGCGTTGTGGTCATCTAGTTCTAGAGCTTTCACTTTAACTCAAGCTGGCCAGTTCATTTTCCCCTCAAAACCTAGCATGACATCCAGTTTGAAGGAATCAAGGGTAAAAGTGGAAACTTGTTAGTGAAATTGCATAGATTTAGGTCTGTACTCTGTACTCGACGGTCTGTACTCGACTCAAGATCTGACGGAGTGTAAAAATGCGAATCTAATCCCATTGACTGCAACAATGTCGCGTGTGCGCTCCATAATTTTGAAAGAACAAAAGAGATTCCATAGATATTTCACGAGAATAGTGACAGTGAAGCAAAAGTGGCTTTTTCAATCTCTCCCCGAGTCACTTCATCATCTATTTGATAGATATTCTTTTGAAATCTTTGAGAAAAGATTTCGCTTTAAGATATTTTGATTTTAGAATCTAAACAGACCGTCCCTAATCCATCAAAATTCGTTGTTGGTCGATGCGTTGGGGTGGAGACGGCGCGGAGCTCAGTGCGGAGCTGAATTTTTCATTGAATTCATTGAATTCATTGAATTCCTTAAAGTCATTCAATAAGTCCAACTTTTTAAAGAATACAATACCATTTAAGTCTAAAAGCTTACCGTACTATCTGTCATTGAAAAGCTACAATACTATCTACAGTTTGAAAAGCTACAACACTATCTACCGTTTGAAAAGAGCCAGTAGTTTAAGCCAGTAGTTTAAGCCAGTAGTTTAAGCCAATAAGTGCAAAGGGTTACGGTAGCTCTGTGTGGGATTTAATCTTTAGAAAACCCTCACCTCATTGATCACCGTCCTGTACCTGCTACTCTCCCAGCCGAAACGAGCCACCATTTTCGCGCCTAAAGCAAATCTAGGATTACGGTAGCTTCATGGAAAGAAAGCTCGTAGAAAACAAGGTTAGAATTGTAGAAAACAAGGCTACAATTGTAGAGATTAGATTTCAATTTCAATTCCCAACCGATTCGAGTGGCTCCAATTAGGCAAAGGGCATAAAAGGCGGTTCCACGCAACGAGAGCACATCAGCCTGTTCGGCGAGTCGAATGATTTGCGCGACGCACCCGTTTGGCAAGAAATTTGGGTCTAAAGATTTATCTAGATATCTAGATCTTTAGATCTCTAGATCTCTAGATCTCTAGATATCTAGATCTCTAGATCTCTAGATATCTAGATATCTAGATATCTATTAGGTTGATGCATAAGTGTTTTCGTTCCTTTTCGTCTGCCGTTTCAAGCCAACAAATGCACGAATTAAACTACGGCTGATTTCATTAGAAAAAGCAATTATTTTTCTGCAAAATAACATTAAAACGGGTTTAAAAATATTGAATGCCTGGATTTTCTTGAGAGTATGAAGTCGGGTAGTCAAAAAGGGCTAACTCGATGATGCGGTTTAGACACCTTAGCTAAAGAAAACCTATCTTCGTGTCAATAGATAAAAGATAGAGAAAAAAAACGTTTGATATTTCGCCAAAATTTCAGAGAAATTCATTCAGCCAATTTTTCCGTAGAGTTTTTTATAGATTTTTACGAAAAAGGCGTTTTTCACTCTCGAATTTGCTTGAAAGTGAACCGAAATTGAACAAAAAAACACTTTTTTTATAGAGCAAACTATAGATTAATTGGTGAATTTGTTACTTTTTAACAGAAGTACGAAAAAAACGAAAAGACTTATGCATCAATCTATTAGATATCTAGGTCTCTAGATCGATATTTAGCCATTTATCTAATAACTCTTTAAACTAAAACTATTGCAAATTCCCCATAGAAACCCTGTCTCCCGATTTGTCCCAATGCAAGCAGCGCTCCTTTCACAATGGCCACATGCTCGTCACCGATCTGCTCGAGGAGATAGTCGACCACAGCCTCACTTTGTAGCAATTGTTTGCCTAGATAAGTTTCGATATAAAGATATAAAGATATAAAGATGATTGAGCTTTCCGCATCTTTTTCCCCGCCAATAAGTCAATGTAAAAGAATCGATCTTTAATCTCTTACTTCATCATCGACTTTTTGCATCATTTCTCCTAATTTTCAATGATTTTAAAACTCGATTTAAGCTAGAATTAAGGAAAATAAATCGAATAAAGTCAAAATATACTATTAAAAGCACTTTCTCGTACCAGTTTGATGTTTGGTGAGCTCGCCGAGGAGATGCGGATGCGCACGTACACCATAGCGCTCAAATCTGAGAACAGTACTCTGAAAATTCCTTTGTCATTTTTCTCACCTCTCATGTGATGGTCGAGCGAAATGCCCAGAAACAGTTCTTCTCACTCCGAGCATCGCGATTCTCATCTCCTCTTCGACGATCTCCCCGTACCGAATGTTGAAAGACTTAAGATTGTCTTTTAAAGGATACAAAAACATTAACGACTCTTGCGTGGCTTCCCGGTTTTGAAAGAATCTAGGTACTTTGGAAAAATCCAGGTATTTTGGAAAAATATTTTGAAATCCGGATATTTTGAACGAGTTGTCACACTTTGAAAGCCGATAACTTTGTCTAGAGATCATGTTTTTGTTAGTTTTTTATAGAATTGTATAGAGGACATTCCAGGCTTTCAAATGATACCAAATAGAGATTGACTGGATTTTTCATTCATGCAAACAAGGCGATACGACACTTGAGTTGGATAGGCCTCATTTGCTCGGAGTTGGCTCTGACTTTTCTTTTACTGAATGATCCAATACAAAGCTCTATTTGGTACCATTTGAAAGCTTGAAATGTCCTCTGTACAATGATATAAAAAACTAACAAAAATATGATCTCTAGACAAAGTTATAGACTTTCAAAGGGTGACCACTCGTTCAAAATACCCGGAAACATTATTAACATTATATAGATAATGCAAGAGCCACATTATCTATATAATCTACCATAAATCCCCTAAAAAAGGCCGCATCTAGAGCTCAATCGAAAACAATAAGCGTTGCTCTCTAAAAACCCCCACGGCGGTTATTAAAGAAACTCCTAAATTCTATTTTGCACCAAAAGTACCGTACTTACTACCACCTAGACACAAAGAATCGAGCTTTTTCTTCCATTTTTAATATTTTAAATTGTTGATTTGCTTTAATAATATTGTTTTTATGTTTGTTTTTTTGTTTTTATGTATTTCTATCAGCATTTACTAACTTTTTTTATTTTAGGTGACGTCTGCGATGGAAAAGCAAGCTTTGACGCAAAAGTTGAAGTCCTACAATGTCCTACAAAATCGAAGCGAATCAAAACGTAAAGCGAACCAGCAATCGGGAAGCAGGACGTCATTTTGGAGTTGATGAACGACGAATTCGCGAATGGAGATCGCAGGAGAACAAATTGATGACGTCTAACAAAGAAACAAAGAAGCTATCTGGTAGTCGATATCGAATTCGCTCAGCTTCTGCAAGCAAGAATCGACAATACCTTGACCATTTTCAAGAATCGACAATACCATTTTCAAGGATCAACAATACCATTTTCAAGAATCGACAATACCATTTTCACCGGATTTAAATGTTATCGTTTATGTTTGACGCAAAAGTTGAAGTCCTACAATGTCCTACAAAATCGAAGCGATTCGATACGTAAAGCGAACCAGCAATCGGGAAGCAGGACGTCATTTTGGAGTTGATCAACGACGAATTCGCGAATGGAGATCGCAGGAAAACAAATTGGTGATGTCTAACAAAGAAACAAAGAAGCTATCTGGTAGTCGATATCGAATTCGCTCAGCTTCTGCAAGCAAGAATCGACAATACTTTGGCCATCTTCAATACCATTTTCAAGAATCGACAATACCATTTTCAAGAATCGAAAAATCACCGGATTTAAATGTTATCGAGAATTTATGGGCCTATTTGAAATCAAAATTGTGCAAGGAAAACGATTCAATTCTAAAGTCGAGCTTTGGTTTTACATCAGAAAAGTTTGGAGGATGATTAGATCTGGAATTCTTGATGAATTAATTGCATCGATGCCTACTCGTATTGAAGAAGTACTTTTGGCAAAAGGAGGAGCGACTAAGGAGTTGATTAAAGCTTAATTTCGTCTTAAGTGAAAAGACTTTTGTAGCAATGTTTGAGGTGATCACTGACGAAATTTGAATAATAAGCTCTGCCCTTTAAAAAGCGCTGCACCTAGAGCTCAATTTAAAAAAAAAAATAAGCACCGTGGCACTTTTTAGAGGATTTACGGTACATCTTAAAACCAAATATCCACCTGAATCCAAAAGCGAATCGCCGCTGTGATCTCATTTGGGTTCTTCGTGCAGTGTTCCTCTTCAGAGATCAGAGCGGCTTTCATTAAAATCCCTGCTTCACCTAAAGATTTCGATTTCGAGCTATAAAATTAGCTATAAGAAATTTTATAGCTAATTTTATAGCTGATTTTATAGCTCTATCTGAATAGTATTTGATAATAATTAACTTATAGATAAATTAAGTATAAATAAGTTATCCATCGCACCAAACGAATCAAGCTGCGCTGTTCGAAGTAGGCGAAGCGATTGACCGAATTGCTAAAAAAAAGTACTATAAGATTGCAAAAATTGATAATTCAATTAGATAATTAGATAATTAGATTTCTTAACTAGTACAATAGCATATTATATCTAGATAATTAACTAGAATATTAGATTTTTACTGGAGCATGGTGGAGAATGATTCGAATCGCGTGCCGGACGACTTTTGCTGACGGGTCGCCGAGCTGAAAAGTAAGGAAATTGTAGATATTGATAAAGAAATGAGATTTTCGAATCAGGATTGGATTTTTGCGTAATTGAACCTAGCAATAGACCAAAAAATCTACCAGAAGTTGCTAGTTTGGCTCGGGTTGCCACTGAATGAACAGCCCCGCTTTAAAGCCCCATAACTTTGTCCAGAGATTGAATCATTTTTAGCTTTTTATATCGTTAAATAGAGGAGATTTCAGGCTTTTGAATGATACTAAAAACAGTCTGATTGAATTAAAAGATCATAGAGAAAATTAATCTCAAAGATTTTGGTAGAAATTTTGAGATAACTTTGTCTCCCACTTTGAGAGCCTATAACTTTGCTTGGAACCTACATGTTCTTTAGTCTTTTATATCATTGAATAGAGGAGATTTCAGGCTTTTGAATGATATTAGAAATAGCTTGATTAAACTAGAATATCTTGGGAAAAATTAATCTCAAAAATATGGGTTGAAATTTTGAGATAACTTTGTCGCTCCACTTTGAGAGCCTATAACTTTGCTTAGAACCCACATGTTCTTTAGTCTTTTATATCATTTAATAGAGAAGATTTCAGGCTTTTGAATGATACTAAAAAGAGCTTGATTGAACTAAAAGATCATGGAGAAAATTGTTTCAAAATCTGAGCACAGATTTCGCTCAAATCCGGGGGGTTTTCGGTGTCAACGGATCGATTAGCAGGGTTTATTTTAATGCTTTTTCATTGAAATTCTTTGAAATATATTTTTCAAGAGTTTATTTTTTTAAAAAAAACCTGTGTAATTAGGAATTTCGTGCCCCAATTGTTGAAGCTTAGATTGGGTAAACTCGCAAGAACAGCCAAAAATCGAGTGCACCACTTGCGCGCCATCTGAAATTAATGAAATTTTTCTAAAATTCAAAAACTTACGATATGGACACTGTTGGACACTATTGGACACTATTGGACACTATTGGACACCTTTATCTAGTACCCAGTGGACACTAGGAAAAGCAGGAATGGTTCTAGGCCCTAGTATCAAAATCAATCAATTTAAAAGCTTTAAAAGCTTCAAAAGCTATCGATCGACATTTTGTGTTGTTTAAAAATCAAAAACTCAAAAATAAGCACCTTTCCAACAGCACTTCAAATACCACAGTTTTCTGGGGATTTCTAATCGAACTTTGAGCTTAAATTTCTTGGCATCCTGTTGTCAAATTACAATAATTTTTGTACCAATCAACAGAGAAAGACTCAACGCTTCTAATGATACCAAAAAAGATTTCAATTGAACAATTGAACCCAAGATTTCAATTGAACAATTGAACCCAAGATTTCAATTGAACAATTGAACCCAACATCAAGAAATTTGAGCTTAAAGTTAGCAATAATAAAAGTAAAGCAAATTTCCGATCACTGGTACTAGGGCCTAGAACCATTCCTGCTCTTCCTAGTGTCCACTGGGCACTAGGTAAAGGTGTCCAATAGTACCCAATAGTGTCCAATAGTGCTCATATCGTAATTTCTCAACATCAACAATACCAGTACTCTGGATTCCGATAATCCCGATAATCTTACACTCGCTCACCTCACTCGTTGATGTGAGTGCTAGGGCCTAGAACCATTACTGCTCTTCCTAGTGTCCACTGGGTACTAGATAAAGGTAACCAAGGGGTGTCCAATAGTGTCCAATAGTGCTCATATCCTAATTTCTCAACATCAACAATACCAGTACTCTGGATTCCGATAATCCCGATAATCTTACTCTCGCTCACCTCACTCGTTGATGTGAGTGCTCTTTGTAAAAACAATACCAGTGCTCTGGATTTCAATAATCTTACTCTCTCTCTCTCTCACCTCATTCGTTGATGTGAGTGCTCTTTGTAAAACGAGTCTCGCTCTCGATTGTCGTTGATCGAGTGAATAGTCGAGACTTGAAACGATCGCTTTCACATAATCCAAACTTGTTTTTTCCGTCATCAGCGAGTTGAATCTAGAAAGAGAAAGATAAAGAGAGATAAAGAAAGAGAAAGAAAGAGAAAGAAAGAGAAAGAGAAAGAGAAAGAAAGAAAGATAGCTTTCTTCTTCCCTTTCCCTTTCTTGTTAAATGACTAATTGATGTTTAGAACTTTCAAATGTCATCTCTGATAGCAAAAAGTATGACTAATTGAGTCTAAAAGGGAAAGTATACTTTTTTTGGGGTTTCCTTAATGGATTTCTTTTGCTTAAGGTCATGGAACCGTTTTTAGCAACTTTCGCTTATCGTTAGTCACTTTCTGGAACTCGTTTTCCAAAGTTGACACTTATTTCGGAATGATTGTAAAGAATTTTATCTAATGCAGATCATTGTTTCAAAATAGGCTTAGAATTGAGGTTCTGGTTTTGCTTGGACCCGGCTTTGCTGTAAGTTTGAGCTGAACCAGGCTCTTGCTCAGGTTTTAGCCTTGCCTGGACCTGGGTTTTCTGCTAGACCCGGCTTTGCTGTAAGTTTGAGCTGAGCCAGGCTCTTGGTCAGGTTTTAGCCTTGCCTGGACCTGGGTTTTCTGTAAGTCTCACCAAAAACTTACTCCTGCCAGGCTCTAGCTCTAGACGAATTTCGATCTATCCTATCCTTGATCTACTCCTGTCCTAACTTGATCCGACTAACAGGCTCTAGAAGCCAATGGTACAGGCTTAGCCACCAGTTCCCTGTCTGGATCACGGTTTGACTTAAAGGACGACCGACCGACCGATCCGATCAGGACTGATCCAAAATTCTAACTTGACCCTAGACTAACCTCGTCTGATTTACAAGTTTAGGTTATTCAAGCTTAGACTTTCAAAACAAAAGATTATTTAGACTTTCTAGACTAAGATAATTATCGAAAGTATTTTTGATCTTGGATAAGTCAATTAGATAGGGTTATTTATCTAGTTTATCTATTGATAGGGTTATTTATCTATTAGAGTAGTCAAGGTCAGCCAAAGTTGATCACTGACTCTCAAAAAGAGTTCTGCTGTTTCATTAATCTTTTTTTTGCCAGGGAAAGAGGTATTACGGAAAATGGTAGAGCTAGAGGAGGTGATGGTGATGGTTTGAATGTGTCTGTGTGTCTAAAGCTGGAGGTCTAAAGAAGAAGAGAAGGTGGAAAGGCGATGATCCGGCTTCGGGCTTTCCATCAAGCTCTGGCCTGCCTGCCCTGAAGGAAAGAGAAAGACGAGCCTCTTCCCAACCCACGACAACAGGCTCTTCCTCTCTTCTTTCTCTCTCTTGATCTTGAAAAAAGCTTCCGAGAGAGTTCGAACTCGTTTTCTCGTTTTCTTTGAATCCGGAAACAGCTAGCTAATGGTTGCCAATCAGTTTTATCGATTTCTATGCAAATATAGAACTATTTTTCTTCTAATAAACATAACTTTTTCTTATTACCGTCATGATCGACTTGATTGACTTGATTGACATGATCGAGTTGATTTCACCGCACTTACAGCCTTACAAAGAGTACTGATGAGGCTGAGGAGTACTCATGAGGCTGAGGAGTACTCATGAGGCTGAGGAGTACTCCTTGTAAGGCTGGAGGTAGCTTTATCGATGGATGCAAATCTTTTGAGCGATTCCTGCTTTCTTGTTAATCAAATCCTTGTACTCATACAAATGAACAAGCTCTACTGATTATGCTCTACTAGCTCTACTGCTCTACTAGCTCTACTGCTCTACTAGTAACTCTACTGGTAACTCTACTGATACTGATATCAGTATAACCAGTCCTTTACTTGTTATAAACCAATGTTCTCTTTTTACTCTAGCTATGTTGCCTTACTTCTACCGAAAACCCAATGAATTCCTTGAGAGTACAGTAAGTTAGAGTACAGTAAGTAAGTACAGTTAGCTCAGAAAGCTCTCTCAAGCTCAGAAAGCTCTAAGATTCTCGAGTCCACTGAGAATCAAAAAAAAATCAGCAGAGGAAGGATGGGGAGATTGAAAAAAACCCGATCCCGTTAGCCAGGGTAGAGAAAGGAGTAGGGGTACCCTACGCAAGGCAAAGGAAACGGGTTCCAAGAGCTACAGAAGAGGCAATTGTGAGCCATAGAGCCACACTCAGGCTCACCCCCCGGTCTCTCCGGACTCTAAACCTTTCTCCCTATGATCAGCAAGCCATCCTTTTCCTTTTCCATTTCCTTTTCCTTTTCTGATCCTCAAAATGCAAGAGTGCCTTTTTATTAGTTTCAATTGTTGACAATTACAGTTAACAATTACAGTAAGTGACTAGAGAAAGGCACCAGAACAAAGCCTTCAAAGCCAGAATCGGTTATTCTAATTCTGAATCTGCTTTTACTTTTTCTAAAGGAGCTCTGTAACGCGAGATATCTGACATCAAAGTTTAGGTTGATTGTTTTTATAACGAGATTCTTATAAGCAATAAGAAACTCATAAGCATCGTTATAACCCTTTTATCTCTCCCTCAAACATTGGACTGTTGGCTCAGTGGATAGCGTGGTCGTCTCGAAAACGGCTCGAGGTCTTTCTTGGCCGGGTTCAAATCCGTTGCCAATAGATTCTTATTTCTTTTTGAGAAATTTCAATTGAATTTCACATTTTTGGCCAAATCTTTTCTTCTACACTTTGCAATAAAGGCAGAAAACCAAACGAAGGCAGTGATCAAGCCTCAAGCATCAAGATCAAGTGATCGTGAGATCAATTCAATTCAATTCCGCGTAGTGACTTCAAACATTTTCCACAATTCCAGAATAAACAGTCGATGATATCGTGAAACTAGGCTCAGCTCTTTCTTTTTTTCTCCACTCTACAAGAAGATCAGAAAGCCAAGCGAAGCCAGTCAGGCTTACAATACAGCTAGAGCCAGTCCAGATAAAGTCAAGGTTGTTTTAGTGATCTAGACTTGGCCCAGAAAAATTCCTCCATCCTGATCGCCTAGCCAAATCCTCTCTTGCTTAAACCAAACTCAAAAAGAATGTCTCTTTTCCTTTCCTTTCCTCAAATCCTCACTTTTCCCTTTTGCTCGTCGGGTTTTCCTGTTTTTCCTGCGTAATTTCCATTTTCGGTGGCGGTTTATTAGGCGGCTTTTTAGCTTTTCTCATCGTTGACGTGCCATTTGCATAGAGAGATTTATCTTATACGGTTTTCAGTGATATTCTTTAGCTTGAGCTTTTGGCTTTGACAAGCACTACTTCAAATTGCATTGCTTGTTTTTGATTTGTGGTTAAAGATATATCTTTTTGATATTTAAAGCATTGATTTGATCTTCTTTAGAATCTTTGTTCTTTAGAATCTTTGTTCTTTAGAAACTTTGTTCTTTAGAATCTTTGTTCTTTTGAAACCAAAGCATTGATCTTTTAAAATCTTAAGCTAAACTTTAAACAGATCTTTAAACAGATCTTTAAGCTAATCTTTAAGCTAATCTTTAACCTAATCTTTAAGCAAATCTTTAAGCACATCTTTAACCAAATCTTTAAGCTAATCTTTAACCTAATCTTTAAGCAAATCTTTAAGCACATCTTTAACCAAATCTTTAAGCAGTTCAGCTCATTGATCTTTCTTCCAAACAAAGCCTTGATTCTAGAAATGCGGTGGCTTCTCCTCGTTTCTTTATTCACTGCTTTGTATGCGGATTTGCCAAGTTGTGCCCGGGCTCGTTGCCTGCATTGTGAGGTGGAGTTCATCTCGCGCATGTGCCCTGATGTCTGCTCGAGATGCCCGGGAAGGGTGCAGGTTTGTTGATGATTTGGTAATTCACAAATCAAAATCTTGATTTTCAGTCCCCTGTGCCGCAGAACACGATCCCGAGACAACCGGCGCCAATCTATCGCCAGCCACAACCTCAGCAACCAGTTCCAACACCACCACAACGCCGAGAAGCCCCACAACCACCGCCAGCGCAAATTGTGCCTCCACCACGACCACAGCAACAACAACAACAACAACAACAACAGCATTTTGTTCAACTGCAACAAACGCACTACTTGCCCACTCAGAATCAGCCGCAAGCGCAACAATTTGCTGCACCAAATACACAGGTTTGAGTACTGTAATTACAAGTGGTTTTCTAAAAAGAATCCTCAAGAAAAGCTATTGTAGAAAATCAATTGTAGAAAGGCTATGGTAGAAAAGCTATTGTAGAAAAGCTATTGTCGAAAAGCTATTGTCGAAAAGCTATTGTAGAAAAGCTATTGTAGAAAAGCTATCGTAGTAAAGCTATCGAGAAAAGCTATTGTAGAAAGGCTATCATAGAAAATCTATCGTAGAAAAGCTATTGTAGAAAAGCTATCGTAGTAAATCTATCGTAGAAAAGCTATTCTAGAAAAGCTATCGTAGTAAATCTATCGTAGAAAAGCTATCGTATAAAAGCTATCGTAGAAAAGCTATTGTAGAGAAGCTATCGTAGAGAAGTTATCGTAGAAAATCTATCGTAAAAAAGCTATTGTAGAAAAGCTATCGTAGAAAATCTATCATAAATATATTAAAAACAAACTACACTTGACTTTCTCTTTCTGGATTGATTTGGAAAAACGAATTTCCAGTTTTTCTTCACACATTTTCAAGTGTCACACGTTTGTGTGTGTCTTTTTTTCTTTTTTTCAATCACACTTTCGATTGAGGAATTGATTTTGAGGGGAAATCGAATGAAAGCTAGATCTTATATATGTAAAAACGGGGAGTGGGACAAATGCGACCTTTTTTTTGCGCACCCGGACATTTGCGCACCTTGCCCATTAGCGCACCTTTGCGCACCTTCGCGTTTTAAAAAAGCTCTAAAAGCTTAAAAAAGCTAATATTAACGAATTTCTATTCCAAAAGTTGTTTTTCTAGGGAATTTGAGGGCGTAGAATCGAAATAAGAATACGGTGTTTTGTCGAGTCTTAAATACGAATTTAAAAGCAGAGCCTCGGCAGGATGCCAAGCCACGCCCCTCACGTCGAGTCTTAAATACGAATTTAAAAGCAGAGCCTCGGCAGGATGCCAAGCCACGCCCCTCACGTCGAGTCTTAAATACGAATTTAAAAGCAGAGCCTCGGCAGGATGCCAAGCCACGCCCCCTCACGTCAAGCTTTATATAATGAAATTGGAATGAACCAATTTCAAAGACAAAACGGCTAGATCAAATTACAAAAAATTCCGTTCGTTTGTTTCCACAAGCTCTGATATGTCAAAATTTCGATTCTACGCCCTAAAATGACCTAAAAAACAACTTTTGGAATAGAATTTTGGTTAATATTAGCTTTTTAAGCTTTTAGAGCTTTTTTAAAACGCGAAAAAAGGTGCGCTAATGGGCTAAGTGCGCAAATGTCCGGGTGCGCAAAAAAAAGGTCGCATTTGTCCCACTCCCGTAAAAACGTTATCAAAGCTATCGTAATCTCAAAATATTAATGCTATCATAATCTAGAGATCTTCTAGAGATCTAGTAAAGCTTTACAGCCCTTTTTAAACCTTACAATTCATTTTAGAGCCGATTTTTGGCTGAAAACTCAGTCTCAATACACCTTTAAATCTAGGATTACTGTTTAAAGTATCACCAAAACGATTACGGGACCTTTAGCTGACGTGTGAAAGCTTTTAGTAACGAGAAATCTTTTACAGTTTCTTTTACAGTCAAATGAGCAACTAAAATTTCAGCTGCACCCAATCCCACCGCAACAAGTCGCCTATCAACCATTGTACGCTCCACCACAGCACCAACCACAGCAACAAGCTCAACAACAAGCTCAACAACAACAATATCAACAATTTCAACAGCCCCAACAACCACAGTATCAACAATATCAACGTCAAATCGTTGTCACTCAACCCCCACCCCCACCAGCCGTTACTCCATCAAGAGAGCAAGCTGTCACATTGGCTCCATTGATTCAAATGCCTTCTGCTGAGGAAATCAATCAACAATTGGTCGCTCAGCAAAGGATCTTGTCGAATGGATTGTACTCACAGGTTTCCTTTTTAAACCAATTACTTTTTGGGAGAGAAAATTGGAATCGAATCGGTCAGATACTTTAGCTTTAGAGTCGGCTATTGATCGATGAGCTAGATCTGAGCTTTTAGAGTTAGAGCTAGATCTAGAGCTAGACCTGGCACAGCAAGTACAGGTCTGCTGATACGCTAGATAGTGTCTGATTTATCGGAAATCTTTTAGGACTTTGTATTGAGATAGACCTGCTAGGTGCTAGGGTAATAGCAGGCTGAGAGTACAAGTACCTAACAGTAGCTCAACTGGACAATGGCACTGCTAGTACTGGCACAGACCAGCTGCTGAGACTAGGCCAGTTAGGACTAGACCAGTTGCTACTAGACCAGCTGCTACTAGACCAGCTGCTACTAGACCAGTTGCTACTAGACCAGCTGCTAGGACTTGACCAGCTGCTAGGACTTGACCAGCTGCTACTAGACCAGCTGCTACTAGACCAGCTGCTACTAGACCAGCTGCTACTAGACCAGCTGCTACTAGACCAGCTGCTACTAGACCAGCTGCTACTAGACCAGCTGCTACTAGACCAGCTGCTACTAGACCAGCTGCTACTAGACCAGCTGCTACTAGACCAGCTGCTAGGACTTGACCAGCTGCTGGGACTTGACCAGTAGATAGATTGGTACTAGACCAGTTCATAGCTCAAGTTCAACTAGCAGCAGTTCTATAAGAATTACTGTAAAAGACTTTATCTGAAAAAACTTGGAATTTCTAGGTACCGCGAGCTGCTCAAGCTCCTGAGCCCCAGCAACAAGCGACTCAACAATCTACCCAGCAGAACACTCTCTTCCCGGGCCTTTTCCCCAATCAACAACCATCCCAATCTTCTTCTCAAACCTCTCCATTCTTCAATCCATTTCAACCATTTCTCCAAAACCTTGGCCTAGCTCCATCGGCTCCATCAGCTTCAAATCCCTTCGGATTACCCACCTTTCCTCCAAATCAATTTTTCAGCACTACCGCCCCAACTCCTCAACAACAATATAATCAGGTGTGGTTTAAGATGAGAAAATTGATGAGAGGAAGGGCTGGGAGGCTCTTGACTTTTGAATAAAGGCCGATTGAAAGATTGTCATAAAAAATTAGCTGACAAGGGAATGGTCTGAGCTCAAAGCTCAAAGTTCGGAATCGGATTACGCTAGATATATGCTCTAGATTATGCTCTTACTCTAAGTGAGCTCAAAGTTCGGAATCGACTGGAAACACAGGGCATAGAATTGGCAATGGCGAGCAAAATGCCACAAAAATCAGTCATGGTTGTGAGGCAAATTTTGCACGTGGGCGGAATTGAACTCGAGGGCAAAAATAGGACCACCGTTTCACCGACCAAAGTCTTTATCCACTAGGCCACGAGCTTATCTCTGAATGGCAGCGAGAGAAGCCTTATAAAGGAATCAGTTTCGAATCTTTATAGTTCTTTGAAATTAGTATTCAGCTAATAAGATAGTAGATTGAGTCAAATTTTGGTCGCTACAGTATCCCTACAGTAGCTACAGTATCCCTATAGTAGCTACAGTATCCCTACAGTAGCTAGTATCCCTACAGTAGCTACAGTACTTATCTAGGCAGACTGTAGATAGAAGACTTGGACTGTAAAACTCTAAATTGTTCCACGCGCTCCCAAAGCCAAAACTGCGCCCAGGCAGGCTATTGTACTATGAAAATTGGGTCCAGAATAGCCTAGCTCTTGATCTATACAATTATCTATAAGCATTGAATATCTATCGCTAATTTAGGCCTCGTACTACGGGGTGAACGGCCAACAACAGCAACAGCGAAGTCCCTATGGAGTACAGCAACAACAACAGCAACAACAACAGCAACAATATCAAGGCTATCAGCAGGTTTGTTTCGAAATCTTTCAGTTTTAAGCTTTAACCTTTATTTTAAGTTTAAATAGAAATTTTAGGCTTCTCAATCCAAAGCTTTGGCCACAAATTCGATCCAACAATCGACCAACTATGCTCAACAGGGAAATCAGGTGGGGGCTTTTTTTGGGGAAGCTTACAGTAGGCTTACAGTAGGCTTACAGTAGGCTTACAGTAGGCTTACAGTAGGCTTACAGTAGGCTTACAGTAGGCCTACAGCCTACAGTATCTAGAATACAGTACTCTAAAGTAATCACGTTTTCTAGAGAATCGTTTAGTGATGTTTTTTAGGTAGTGGCTCGTTCGATTGACTCCTCTCCGCAAACGTACGAGAAAAACTTCTACGCCGGAGTGGCAAAGCCACAAGTGCAATACCCGCAAGTGGGTTTAGAGGGATTTCGGCTTTGAAAGCTACATGATGTTTACTCTAAACTTTGAATCACAAGCTACAGTACCCAAGCACTGTCTCAAGTCTCAAGCCAACAGTACCAAAGCACTGTCTAGAGGTACCAAAGCACTGTCTAGAGGCACCAAAGCACTGTCTAGAGGTACCAAAGCACTGTCTAGAGGTACCAAAGGACTGTCTAGAGGCACCAAAGCACTGTCTAGAGGTACCAAAGCACTGTCTAGACGTACCCAAGCAATTCACAGTACACCAATTCTAGTTTTAACGACATCACCAAGACTTCTAACGTTCCAATTCGTTTTCCTACATTTCTTTGACTCAACACTTACTGTAGAATGTTAATATGAAAGATAAAAACTCAAAAATTCAGTGTCCCCGTCAACCCGGCTGGCTTCCGTGTATCGGTAAACAGGAGGCGAATCAACGTTTCGCGAACTGTTGCGCAAGATTGGGTGAAGGCTGTATGCCACTCTGCAACTATGATGCTAATCTGGCTACAGTTCGTTTTTATCGTTTAAACTTAAAGAAACTAGAGTTTTAAGTGTTTAAAGTTTTGTTAGAACTCTGAAAAAAAGTAAAAAAGTAAAAAACCCAAGTGGGGACCGAACTTCGAAGGTCTCCCTTCAGAAACGAACGCTTTACCACTCGGCCATGCCGGCACTGGCTCAGCTTTGCGAGCAGGCCGCTAAGAACCAAATGACCACACTTTCAGGCCCGCAATGAGGCCGCTAAGACCAATCACCAATCTTAACGAAACTTTAGAAATTATAACTCCTAACAGATTGTCATTTAGCAAAAACGGAATATATATTTGGAATCAGCAGAAAATTCTGCGTTAAATGGTATCGGTGGCATAGGATTTGGCTGGCTCAATCAGTAGAACTTAGTGAGCTAAAAGCCAAGAAGAGACATTCCTTTACATAGCCAAAGTCACAGTACCCTAGAGTCCCTTTAACTCACAGTACCCAACACCTATCTAATATCTGCTAACTTTGGCAGAGATTTTGCTAGAATTTGCTTAGAAGTTCTTTTTTCTTCGGTGCACTTACACCTAGTTAGCTCAGGGTTTCTTTACCTAGAGCTATAGACTTTCTAAAGGGTACAGTACGCCTCTAATGAGCTCCGGTACTCTTCTAATGAGCCACAGTATTTCTAAAGGGTACAGTAGGTTTCTAATGAGCTACAGTACGCTTTTAATGAGCTAGAGTAGCTCTGATGAGCTTCAGTACGCTTTTAATGAGCTAGAGTAGCTCTGATGAGCTTCAGTATGCTTCTAATGAGCTCCGGTACTCTTCTAATGAGCCACAGTATTTCTAAAGGGTACAGTAGGTTTCTAATGAGCTACAGTACGCTTCCAATGAGCTAGATTAGCTCTAATGAGCTAGAGTAGCTCTGATGAGCTCCAGTACGCTTCCAATGAGCTCCGGTACCCTTCTAATGAGCTACAGCATTTCTAAAGGGTACAGTAGGTTTCTAATGAGCTTCAGTACGCTTTTAATGAGCTAGAGTAGCTCTGATGAGCTTCAGTACGCTTCTAATGGACTGCAGTAGCTCTAATGAGCTCAAAACTTGTCTCTATATCTTTTCCGTTTCTAGATGCAACTCAACGTGTTAACCGGTCGTTGCCCACTTCAAAAAGTGCACGATATCATGATTTGTGCGTCTGGTTACAAAGATGTGACTCAATGTTGTGAAGCGTACAACGTATTCGAGCCAGGCTTCGAGCACTGCCGACCCTACTGTAACCCGGCTGGCGGTCTACCGGAGGGTGGTCTATTATCCGAGAAATACAAATGCTTAGGGAAATTGTCATATATTCAGCAATGTTTCTACGTTTCCCAGAATCCATAACTCTTTCTTTTTTTAGAAGAATTTTTTTGAAAAAACCTTGGCTTTTGTCAAAATTTTCGGGCATTTTCATTTAGTCAACTTTACAGAGTCAACTTTCAGCCAAAGCTTTGTCCAGAGATAATAGAATTGTTAATTGTGGACGATGAAACGATTTTTTATGAGTTTTTCGTGATTTAGAATTGAAATTCGAAAATTTCACTGAAAAAAAAAGGCTTAAAATAAAACCCGGCAATCGATCTGAGCGAAATCCGTGCCCAGATTTTGGAACAATTTTCTCTATGATATTTTAATTCAATCAAGATGTTTTTAATATCATTTAAAAGCATGAAATCTCCTCTATTAAATGATATAAAATGCTAAGCATAATATAACTTCTAAGCAAAGTTATGGGCTCTCAAAGTGAGGCGACAAAGTTATCTCAAAATTTCTAGCAAAATCTTTGAGATTAATTTTTTCTATGATTTTTTAGTTCAATCAAGCTGTTTCTAATATCATTCAAAAGCCTAAAATCTCCTCTACTCAATGATATATTAATGATAAGAACATATAGGTTCTAAGCAAAGTTATAGGCTCTCAAAGTGAGGCGACAAAGTTATCTCAAAATTTCTACCAAAATCTTTGAGATTAATTTTTTCTATGATTTTTTAGTTCAATCAAGCTGTTTCTAATATCATTCAAAAGCCTAAAATCTCCTCTACTCAATGATATATTAATGATAAGAACATATAGGTTCTAAGCAAATTTATAGGCTCTCAAAGTGGGGTGACAAAGTTATCTCAAAATTTCTACCAAAATCTTTGAGATTAATTTTTTCTATGATATTTTAGTTCAATCAAGCTCATTTTAGTATCATTCAAAAGCCTGAAATCTCCTCTATTAAATGATATAAAAAGCTAAAAATGATTAAATCTCTGGACAAAGTTATTGACTTTTAAAGTTGGACAAAGTTATTGACTATTCATTTGCCTCATTTGCTCAATTCTTTCTTTTTCCTTTTGTGCAATTTCCCGATTTCCCGATTTTCCAAAAAAAAAAAGAACGTCTTTCATGCTGAAAATACCGGTGCTTGAACTCACTTTTGCCCTTATTTTGATTGAATTGCGAAATTTTGTAGATATTTCGATCTGGTTTTTCCATTAATAAATAAACGTATGCAAATTTTACTTCAAAATACATGAAACTAAAGTTCGTCTAGAGGTAATGACTAAAAGTACCAGCATTCCAACTTACCCAAGCTACAGTACGTCTAGAGTTCGTCTCTAGTCATTCCCAAGCTACAGTTCCAGTCTAGAGGCTAAAAGTACCAGCACTCCAACTTACCCAAGCTACAGTAAACTCTAAAACTAAGACCTAAGTCACAGTAACCCTTTATTCAGTCATTCAACTTGAAAGTAACGACTATCAAAAGCTACAGTACCCCCAGCGCTTTCTAAAGCTACAGTAAGCGCAAAAATCCGATCTCTAGCCTCTTAAATCTTGAATCATAAAGCAAAAATGAAACTCAAAGCCATACAAAATGCACTTAAGACCACAGTACCCTGGCTACTGTACCCTAAAGCTCTAAAGAGTGGGCAAATCACAGGACCTAAGCCTAAGTCTAAGCCTATTCTCGTTACGGTTCATCCTAGTATCGACTATCAAAAGCTACAGTACTCCCAGCGCCATTTAAAGCTACAGTACTCCTCAACGATTACTGTACTCCTCAACGATCCTACCTCAGCATGATTCCGGATGTGTTGAGCGCCTCTAAGCCAGCTGGATGTTTGCTCATTTCGCCGAGTAGCGCAAAGTAGAACGCCGATCCGGAGGTGACCATTTGTTTCGTCGAAAAGCAACCAAATGAGAGACGATCCTGGAAAGTGCGATTGTTTACAGCCAGCTACAACAAAGTACTGTTCTAGAACTACAATACGATAGCATTTCAAAGCCATAGTACTCTTGAACAACGGTGCTATTGTGCTTTAGAAACATAAGCTCTCTACAGCTCTATACAGCTCTCTACAGCTTTCCACAGCTCTCTACAGCTCTCGAAAGCTCTATACAGCTCTCGACAGCTCTCTACAGCCTTTCACAGCTCTACTACAGCTCTCTACAGCTCTCTACAGCTCTCTATAGCTCTCGACAGCTCTATACAGCTCTCGACAGCTCTATACAGCTCTCGACAGCTCTCTACAGCCTTCCACAGCTCTACTACAGCTCTCTACAGCTCTCTACAGCTCTCGACAGCTCTATACAGCTCTCGACAGCTCTATACAGCTCTCGACAGCTCTCTACAGCCTTCCACAGCTCTACTACAGCTCTCTACAGCTCTCTACAGCTCTCGACAGCTCTATACAGCTCTCGACAGCTCTATACAGCTCTCGACAGCTCTCTACAGCCTTCCACAGCTCTACTACAGCTCTCTACAGCTCTCTACAGCTCTCCACAGCTCTCCACAGCTCTCTACAGCTCTCTACAGCTCTCTACAGCTCTCTATTAGATCTAGAACTATAAAATTGCCCTATCGCGGTACTGTAAATGGCTATAAGCTGAATCCAACCTCTGTAAGCTCTTGGAAACATCTGCCAGCAAATCCCATCAACATATCCCGATAATATTCATCACTCGAGAAATGGCAAGCGTATCGGATTGCCCTTTTTGCAGCCAGAGTCGCATCCCTATCGTTGCTCTTGAAACGCGGCTCCAATGGGCTCATCCAGTTGAAGATCTGAGATTTCGGCTATAGATGAATCAGTAAAAGCTTGGGTGCAAGTATCGGATGAGTTTACGATAAGATAAGTCGAGGAAAAAAAGAGTACCTTTTGTACTAACAACAGCAACTTCTCTCCACACGTTTTCGTCGCTTTTTGCGGCTCACGAAGAGCTGTTGATAGGGCGACAATGGCCGCTTTCCATTGGAGATTTCCGTTTAGTGCTTCGCCGACAGTCATCGAGAGTTGACTCATGTCACAACCTGCATAGAAGTTATCGTTTTAAGTACTATAAGTAAGTTCGTAAGTTTGTAAGTAAGTAAGTAAGTAAGTAAGTAAGTAAGTAAGTAAGTAAGTTAAGTAAAAGTTTAGAAAAGTACTATTCTAAAGCTGTGAAAATGGTACCTAGACTATGGTATTTTGTATCAGATTAGCTATCGTAAGCTAACGGAAACAGTACTCCGGATTTGTTGGAAAGTACAGTACTCCAGTGCCCAGAGTTACAGTACTCTAGAGCCACAGTATCCCAGAGCCAACTTCAAAGCTACCGTACTCCAAAACTACAGTACTCTAGAGCTTCAGTATCCCAAAGCGAACTTCAGAGCTACCGTACTCCAAAGCTACAGTACTCTAGAGCTACAGTATCCCAGGGCCAATTCCAGAGCTACCGTACTCCAAAACTAAAGTACTCTAGAGCTTCAGTATCCCAGAGCCAACTTCAGAGCTACCGTACTCCAAGGCTACAGTACTCTAGAGCTCCAGTATCCCAGAGTCAACTTCACTAACACTGGGCACTGGAGTACTGTACTTTCCACTCTAGAGCTTCAGTATCCCAAAGCGAACTTCAGAGCTACCGTACTCCAAAGCTACAGTACTCTAGAGCTACAGTACTACTTTCAAATCCTTACCATTCGTTTTATCCGCTTGTTTATCCGAGGCGACAAAGAGGGAATAGTTTGAGGTAGGCGATAAACGGCCATCAAATGAGAGCCGAATTTTCGTCAACTCGTCCATTCGGTACAAGACTAACATTGCGTTTCTAAAAGATTGTCATGTTGAAAACCCAAAAGCATATAAAAATCGAATTCTCCGTATGCCAGAGAAAGTTTAGGGCTGTTGCCTTTCTCACCCAGCGTTGAGAAACGTTGTCTCACTGGAGGCAATGTCGAACGGATCATTGTTGGCGGGAGCGCTATTCTGAAAAGTTGATGAGGTACCGTAATCCTTGACGAGCTACCGTAATCCGTTGATGACAAGGTTACGGTACATTTAAAAGTTACAGTACTAAACTCAAGTGTTTCGAACCTTTGCAATCGTTTCCGCCGCCGATTGGACTAAAGTCGGGAGTGAGAGGACGACATTTCTCCATTCAATCGGTACAAAAGATGAGCTCTGAAAAAGGGATTTTTGATTTGAATTTGAAAAGAGAAGAATTCTTTTAGCTAAGCTAAGCGTAATCTTTAAGGGATTACTACAGTAATCTTTAAGGGATTACTACAGTAATCTTTAATGGATTACTACAGTAATCTTTAGGGGATTACTACCGTAATCTTTGAGGGATTACTACAGTGATCTTTAATGGATTACTACAGTAATCTTTAATGGATTACTACAGTAATCTTTAATTGATTACTACAGTAATCTTTAAGGATTACTACAGTAATCTTTAATGGATTACTACAGTAATCTTTAATGGATTACTACAGTAATCTTTAATGGATTACTACAGTAATCTTTAGGGGATTACTACAGTAATCTTTGAGGGATTACTACAGTGATCTTTAATGGATTACTACAGTAATCTTTAATGGATTACTACAGTAATCTTTAATGGATTACTACCGTAATCTTTGAGGGATTACTACCGTAATCTTTGAGGGATTACTACCGTAATCTTTGAGGGATTACTACCGTAATCTTTGAGGGATTACTACCGTAATCTTTAAGGGATTACTACAGTAAGCTTTAAGGGATTACTACAGTAATCTTTAGGGGATTACTACAGTAATCTTTGAGGGATTACTACAGTGATCTTTAATGGATTACTACAGTAATCTTTGAGGGATTACTACAGTAATCTTTGAGGGATTACTACAGTAATCTTTGAGGGATTACGGTAGTTTCCCTTAAGGATTACGGTATTGAAAAGTACATACAATCCACGAAACATCTGACAGAAGTAGAGTCGCTTTCAAAGCCGATGGATCATCAGGATGAGCGACGATTAGTCGAGCCAAAGACTGGAAATTTGAAAAAATATCAATTTTACCGTAATCCAATAGATAGATCTTTAGAAAAACTTTAAATAAAGCTACAGTATCCTATTTAAACATCGAAAAAGAGCAATCTTATAAGCAGAAATCTCAATGGACGATGTTTAGCGGTGAATTTCGATGATTTCTTTCTTTAAATATGTGAATTTTCTCTTAAAATAGTAATAGAATAGATAAAGATTTAGTTAAAGAAGTTTTTAAAGAGAAGTTCTTTGTTAGATTTCAAATATATTTAAGATCTTTTCTTCAAATAAATCGTTCTTTCACCTGTGCCAGCCCGGCGCTGATCAATGAAAAGGCGGCCATCGCGCGGAAAGCGATCAAGAAATCCATATGATCGTTGTGATCCTGAAAAGATAAAAGATCTAAATAAAACTCTGAAATAACAAGATATCTAGCTCTAACATGATAAACAAACCGATCTAACAGGATAGACAAACCGATCAAACATGATAAACTAGCCGATCTAACATGATAAATGAATCGATCAAACATGATAAACAAACCGATCTAACATGATAAACAAACCGATCTAACATGATAAACAAACCGATCTAACAGGATAAACAAACCGATCTAACATGATAAACAAACCGATCTAACATGATAAATGAACTGATCTAACATGATAAATGAATCGATCAAACATGATAAACAAACCGATCTAACATGATAAACAAACCGATCTAACATGATAAACAAACCGATCTAACATGATAAACAAACCGATCTAACAGGATAAACAAACCGATCTAACATGATAAACAAACCGATCTAACATGATAAATGAACTGATCTAACATGATAAATGAATCGATCAAACATGATAGACAAACCGATCTAACAGGATAAACAAACCGATCAAACATGATAAACAAACCGATCTAACATGATAAATGAATCGATCAAACATGATAAACAAACCGATCTAACATGATAAACAAACCGATCTAACAGGATAAACAAACCGATCTAACAGGATAAACAAACCGATCTAACATGATAAATGAACTGATCTAACATGATAAACAAACCGATCTAACATGATAAACTAACCGATTTCGTGTATTGCATTGCGTCAAATTCGCTTAAGATGAACTCATCCGAGAGGAGACCTCGAGAAACGTTTGAGATGTCTTGTTTAGCTGAAAAAAGAAACCGTAACCATCCAGGATTATTCCGTAACCATTCAGGAATTGTTCGTTTTCTTAAACTTATCTCTTTCTATCATAAACTTTTCTCGATTTTCATCAAAATAATCGACTTTTTTTTGCTTATGTTAGCCGAGAGTTCGTCCCAAAAAGTGCCATCAACAACTTACGGTAAACGAAGAGCAAAAAAAAAATGCATATTTTAATGAATTCAATAAATTCGAGCTTCCCGAAATGATGATCTTTATAAATGTTGATCTTTTCTACCATAAAACGTGAGCGCTTCTTTCCATGAGTTGAACTTTGTGTGCGCGTATGGGCGATCGACGAATTCGCACGCAATGTCGACGACCATGTCGCGAATTTTCAGCAAATTCTCGCCCACAATCACGCCCATTCCGAGGTAATCGAGCAGTCTGAAAGGTAATCCAGTTTCCTAAACGATTATGATCGTTGTTTCGATAGGATTTTGTTATATTGCTCAGATTGTGGCCACGTTTTGGTGACTTTTGGCCTGATTTTGGCCCAAAAAGCGATTAAAATCTGTCAAAAATCAGATCAGCTATGCAAAAAAGAGCATAATCCGTTGAAAAGTAATGCTATTTTATAGCTTTTATGCTAGTTAAAGCCTTGCCTTTCATGACTTGGCTTGGCTTGGCTTGGATTGGCTTGGCTTGGATTGGATTGGCTTGGCTTGGCTTGGCTTAGCTTGGCTTGGCTTAGCTTGGCTTAGCTTGGCTTAGCTTAGCTTGGCTTAGCATTGGCTTCCCCTTGACTTCCCTTGACTTCCCTTGACTTCCCTTGACTTCCCTTGGCTTCCCTTGGCTTCCCTTGACTTCCCTTGACTTCCCTTGGCTTCCCTCGACTTCCCTTGACTTCCCTTGGCTTCCCTTGACTTCCCTTGGCTTCCCTTGGCTTCCCTTGGCTTCCCTTGGCTTCCCATAACTTCGCTTGGCTTGTTTTGGCTTGACCAAGGCTTAGAAAGTCAAGCCAAAACGAAGCCAAGCCAGCTAAAGTCAAACGAAGCTATTATATTCTTACCAGCTGCCGTCAGCCAGAACTTGCAAGACTACGGTAGTTTCCTTCCTTCTGCGTACCTCAACGGACTCCCGTTCATCACTTGCCCAGTACTATCCACCGAGCCACACGCAAAGATTCCCGCCCATGAGCGCATGATGGCCAAGAATGAGGCCGAGTATTTGTCGAGCGGCAACTCAAGAGGACGATGGTCTTGGCTGAATGGGAAATTGAGTAACATTGTTAACATTGTTAACATTGTTGATTTGCTAGAAATCTTTATAGAAAGCTGTGCCACTAACCTTTCAATGTTTGAGGTTTGAAAAAAACCGTACTCGACGAGTGGGGCAAAGATTTGCTGAAATAAAGCTTTCGGAGTGGTACTTTATACTCTCTCGTACTATTTGGTAGAGAAAATTTGAGGCTTGTACACTGAAAAGCGCACGTTTACCAGGGTACATTACTTATATGCAAATTCTCTCATACTTGGATGACTAGATGCAGATTGGCGATGGATCTCATCACTGGATCGTCCAACCAAAGCACGAGCACCCGGGAGATGAGAGTGGCCAGCGTCGAGGAGACCGATGAGGTGCCTAGAAATGGAAGGTTAGAAAGTAGAGGCTAATTGTAGAAGTGGCACCGAGATAAGTGAGTTTTACATAAAGATTTTACTTCCACATCTTTGTCTCGTCAATTAAAAAAGGATAAAAGTGAATTTGAAGTATTTTTCTTGTTTAATAAAGATAATTGAACTTATCAAAGGGATTCGATTCTCGAATTTGATTTATTTGACATTTGTTTATCATTTGAAAACCTTTTGTTGACTAGAACTCAACAACAAGACATTAATTCAACAATCAACAACTACAATACTTACCGTAAATACTGTAATAGTACCCCACCGCCCATAATGACGGTGCGGAGTGTTGCGTAGTCTAGCTTTGAACGAGTTTTTCTCGAC